GCTTGCAGCTTTAATTATTATTATGTATTGGTAATTTATCTGCTATAATTTCATTATTGGAATAATATATAATTATATACACTTCCCATTATTGACTAATGATGTATCAGCTCAGATAATAATCGTGCATCCCTAGTACAAATGCAAAAATGTTGTCTGATGTTGGAACAGTTTTAAAAACACAAAAACCGCCTACTAAAAGGTTCATGCCAATAAGCATTTTTTTGGCCCCATTTTGTATTTGGAATGTGTATACTATAGTTTGTTCCTTACAGTATTCAGACTCATTTTACTCCTTCCCTCCTTCCATTTTTTGCTGCCTGCCAGAGGTTTACAGATTCAGGGAAGGCTGAAAGTGCATATAAAGAATAAGCATTTTAATCAAGCCTAGATGCAGGTTAGCAGAAGCTCAGCTATTCTCCAGCCTTAACTCCATCAACCCCTTTATGAACTCTGAGCCTTCAATCCAACCATCTCCCAAATTGCTAGCAAATGCTGATGTCCCCGAGGCTATTTTCTTTAATACGTGTACTTTCAGAACTGTAGTTGAAAAAAGGATATTCTTTTACAGAGAAATTACAAAAATAAATATGACAAAATAAGGTGTCTCAATTGACTCTAGCTGGATATTAGGGTGCAGGATGGACAGCCTATGTTATCAAAGTGTTTATTTTACTTACTGGCTGATGGGTTTGGAAATTTACACCAAGCTTACAGACTGTCGTTTGTGAATTCAACACCCACAAAAGGGTGGATATATGACTTTGTTTTATTTCTTAAATTAAGACTTCACACTTCATAACATTCCTAAAAGGTTAAATATTCAGTCTGGGAAAATGTATACAGCATATCAGATACTGTGGGACTGTATCAGTTCAACACAATCAAACCTTGCCCTTTTTAGTAGGGAGACCCAAAGTGTTCTTTAGTCTGAATGAACTGACAGACAGTTATCTAACTTGCTCTGCCCTGTTTAATATATAACATAAATAACAAATAACAAATAACATATTAACAATAATAATAAAATAATATTAATACTTATTTTTTCATTAGTGTATAATCAGCATTGTAAGAATCATTGTGTTTTTGTTAACTTGAGCTGTTTTATCTACAGAGGGAGCGGGTCCTCTTCTACGTCTGCCCTCCTTTTTCGTGGCCACCGTAGTTTCTCCTACACACACACA